GAATTGTGGTTGAAATCGTTAGGTACGCCCTCCGAAAACATCGCCACCACTTGCCATATCGGGAATTCCTATTAGTATCCGGATTCCGGCTTGACGTTGGGCCCCTAGATATCTTGCCAGGGCGCTGTTGTCCCCTTCTCCGGCGTCACGCGCTGTAGGCCCCGGAAGCGAGGACGGCTGCGGAGTGGGGATAGAGCGCGGAGGACGGCAGGATGTACCCGGCGGCGACCCACTCGCAATCGACGTGCGGCGTGCGGGAGGGAAGCACGCGGGGTCGTCGTCTGGCCGCCGCGAGGATTCACCGAGGCGCGCGAGACGATATGTACATTCGGGCGGACGGGTGCAGTCGAAGCAAGAAGAGAAGGGGTAGAGGTCGGCGACCGGGACGCGGACGTCGGCCAGGGCCACGGCCACGCGCGCGGGCGATGCGCTGTGCGGCCGAGGGACGATGCGGCGCCGTGCGTGGTGCGTGCACGCGACAAGCAACGATGTGGAAGCCGTCTTCGACGGTGCCGAAAGAAGAAGTGGTACGCGGTGGTGCGGCGGTCAAGGCATGGGGATGGAGCGGTCGAGGCTCGAAGCTCGGGGACGGGCGGCGCCGAAAGCGAAGCAGACGCGGGGTGGTGCTACAACGAGGACACAGTTTGATCGCACTCATTCCCCCAATAGCGCTCAAAGACGCAGCAGCCGGTTTTACACGAGAGGGCTGCGGGTCCGCGCGAGGCGATGACGCTCCGAGGACGAACTGAAGCCCCGCGCCGAAAGCGCAGCGGCGTGAAGCACGCGCGAGGGCCGTGCTGCGCCAAGCACGCCCATTCGGCCTCCTTATAACGTGCGACGAGGACAGCGCGGCGGCATGCAGGGGTCGACCATGCAGGCGGGCGCGCCGACGATCGAGGGGGCAACGACGAGGGGGCTGGAGCGGCCGCCCTACAATGAAGCCCAAATGCAAAGCATCGAGGGGCGGAAGGTGCGGAAAGGGTGCCGCGGAAGACTGGGCATGCTCCGCGCTCCGTGCGCCATGCAGCGCGCTCCAGGAACGCCGGCGAGAGCTGACAGCAGGATCGACGTCCAGCTGCCCTGATCTCCGGGGGAGCGCGCAGGACGGACAGCCCGAATGCAGGGCGGGGCCGGAATGGGTAGGAGATCGTATTGGCGCAGTGTGCTCCAGGATCCTCCGGGGGAGCGCGCAGGACGGACAGCCCGAATGCTGGGCGGAGTCGGGCGGGACGGAATAGATCTGGCGTCGGCATGCTCCAGAGTCGACGGCGGTGGCGGATGGGATTTGGAGATGGAATCCTATTGTGTTCCTGAGGGATGGCGGGGGCGTGTACGGGATACGTGCCGAGAGGTGGAAGGAAGGGGAAACGACGACAGGCAGGGACGTGCTCCGCGCAAGCCGAGCGGTCAAAGCACGCGTACGAACGGTGCGGCGAGAACAGGTCGTCCACGAGTGGGGTGGCGCGGCCGAAAGGACGACAGGCGGGGCGTGCTCCGCGCAAACCGAGCGGTCGAAGCACGCGTATGGACGGTGCGGCGAGAACGGGTCGTCCACGAGCGGGGTGGCGCGGCCGACAAGGACGACGGGCGGGGACGTGCGCCGCGCAAGCCGAGCGGTCGACGCACGCCTATGGACGGTGCGGCGGGAACGGCGGAGTGTCGCGGCCGAGGACGAGATGTGTGTCGTTATGGGCGTGGTCACCACGGTGCGTCGGGGGCGAGGATGGGTGGATGCGGATTCTGTGTCGGTCTCCGTCTCGAGTCTCCTTCCCTCCTTGCCACCCTTCCTACCCCGCTTTCCTCCCCGTAAGCTGGCGCCTACCGCCGCAAAGCCCGCAATACCTCCGTATGCCGCTCCGCCGCGTCCTTCCGCAGCGAGCCCATCGCCGAGTGCGTGATGAGGCCTGTTTGGACCTGCGTTTCGGGTTAGTAAAGGTTCGCGTTGAGGATCGAGACGAGCACGGTGAGAGGTGGAGAGGGGAGATGGTGCGGATATGGTGGTGGGACGGGGAGGTGTGCGGAGCGCGGGAGGGGGCAGGGGCAGGGGGCAGGGGGCAGGGGGCAGGGAAAGGACGGAGGGCGAGGACGCGGAAGGCGAGGCTGAAAGGGAAGAGGCATGGAGGCGAGAAGGGAAGGGGACCGGGAGGAGTGTACGTGGGAAGGAAGGGACGGTGTGCGGGAAGGAAGAAAGGACGGGAGGGAGGGACAACCAGCGCGAAGGACGTGGGGGAAGAGGAAGGCGGAGGGGAAGGGCGTGTGGGATATGGAGGTGTGCAAGCGAAGACAACGGGCGGGGTGGATTGGAGTAAAGGAGCGAAGAGTGCGGATAAAGCGACAGGACGACGAACACGAAGACGCGAAGGATGTGGGGGGAACAGGAAGGCGGATGGGGGTGGAGGGGAAGGGCGGGTAGGACATGGAGGTGCGCCGAGAGATGAGACGATGGGCGGGGAAGGAAAGTGGCGAAGAGTGCGGATAAAGCGACAGGACGAGGAAGACGAGGGACGGGGACGGGGAATGGGGAGTGGGGCAGGGGATGTGGGGCATGGAGGACGGGGTGGCGTGCACGCCGCCGCTGGAGCACGGACGGGGGTGGACGGGGACCGAAAAGGAGGGACGGCGCGGGGGGACTTTGGAAAGGACGGGGTGCGGAGCGCGAGCGAAGGGAGGGAAGGCAACAGCCAGAGACGGCAGCACGGAGGGAAGACGGGAGGAAGGAGGGAGGAGGGAGAAGGGGCACGAGTGCGGGGAGGGCGCCCGCTCGGAGGGGCAGAGATGAAGCAGAGAAGGGGTGGTGTATGTACGAAGGGGGCAGAGGATAGCCGACGCGAAAGGAGGAGGGAAGGTGTACACCGTGCGGGTCTGAAAGGAGGAGGAATATAGCGGACGGAGGAACGGGAATGGAAGGGGGCGGGGGAGATACGGCGGGGAAGGAATGAATACGTGTAGGGCTGCGGATGGATAGAGTAGCGAAAGAGGGGTGGGGCGGAAAAGCGGCGGGACAAGAATGTGGCGGATACAGAGATACAGAGACGAACGCACCCCAAAGAGATCCACCGCCTGCGCCAGCGCGTCCGCGCACGCCTGCAGCTGCACCTGCGTCTCGGCGTGCCGCACGATGCGCGCAAAGAGCCCGTGCGCGGCCTGTGTCCGGAGGAAGGCGTGCAGCTGGGTGAGGGTTCTGCGGGGGTGTCAGTCGGGGGATCATAGCATATAACGAGCGCAGGAAGTAGGCAGGAGAGTATAACGAGAGAAGAGGGCGGGGAGAGGGAAGCGCACGGGGACGGGGAGGATAGCATAAGGGGACACGGGCGGACGGAAAGGGAGGTGGGGTAGGAAGGGAAGACAAGGGAGGGGCACAAGGCGGCAAGGAGGCAAGGGGGACTAGGCGTAAGCGCAACACACAATAATCATGGGGACGCAATCCGTCGGAGGAAGAAAGAGGGGAAAGGGACGACGAAAGGGAAGGGGAGAAAACAGCACACGCACCCAGTAAACTGCTGGATCGCCCGCACCATCATCGGCGCCATCATCGCCTTTGCGTCCCCGCACAGATTGATTATCGCCCGCACGATCTGGTCCACACGCTCCAGCAGCCGCAGGCACGCGGTTCTGTTCGTGCGGACGGACTGCGAAAGTGAGTAAGCGACTGTAGGACACGCGGAGGAGGAGAAGAGAGGAGCAGTGGAATGCCTGCGGCGCGGGCAGGAAGAGCATGGCCAACGACGGCCTCGTGTGCCTGCGGCGCACTCGACCACCCAACGGCGGTCTCGGTGAAGGGAACGCTCTGCCACCAAAACAAAACCCACCGCACCTAAACCGTATCCAACACCAGCGCCGCACTAGTCGCCGCCACGCCCACATCCTGTAAATTCATGCTGTTCGCGATGCTACCCAGCAGCGTCGAGGCGTCCAGTCCGCGCTGCACGACGTCGTCGACGTGCCGGCTGCGAGGGCGCGGCGGAGGAAGAAGGGGGTGGTGTCGGTGGAGAAGCCTTTCGTGCCGCCATTCGCTTCGTGGAAGAGGAGGTAGTGTTGGTGAAGCGCGCGATGTCGCGCGCGAGGGTGGCGACGTCGAGTTTCTCTTCTTCCTTTTCCTTTTCTTTTTCGGTGGAGTCCGAAGAAGAGGTGTTGCTGCGGAAGGGCAGCCCCCAGCGGGGCGCGACGAAGACGGACTTGACGGAGACGTAGATGGGGGCGGCGGAGTGGTCGCGCCCCTCGCGGCGGGTGTGCCGGGTCGGGGGCATCCTGGACGGGGTAGCGAGGTGTGCGAGGGTGTTGACAAGTACTAGTAGACCTCGGAGTGCCTGTGGATTGGCGGTGCGTATCCGCGATCCCCGGCTGTCTCCCGACTTCAAGTTGCAGATGGCCCTGGCAAGGATACATCAGCTTCGACATGTCAGATCCGTGCGCGTTGAAGGACGCACCGAGTCGGGCGGTGATACGCTCGAGAATTGTTCTCATCCTCCAGATCAAGCTCTCTTTCAAAGCCAATCTCTGCGATAGTAACACCAAAGGAGACGAGACGAGTACCTCCAGAAGATGGGAGGAGAGCCCTGGCAATATATCTCGAGCAAATCTGAGACCCAGAGGAACGTCAAAGTCTAGAAAATTCCAGCCTGGTGGGAAGACGGAAGAGGTGGCAGTGCGTGCTCGGACGCCGTAGGCAAACAGGTGCAATGCTGATTCCATCATTTTGACCACCACAATTCAAATTTTAACCAAATTTTAACCACGATCCACAGGGAATGTCGCTGGATTGCTGTTTATTCTACCTATGGCTTCTGCGAGTCAGTTTTCAAGCTTTCAAGCATCGATCTGAGCGGACCTGTCAATTCCCTAAAACCAAACTTGATTCGATTCTCGCTTTACCTTTGGGCCTTGGAGCGTTTCAATCCCTAGACCCATCAGTTATGTCGTGACACATGTATAAAGAGGACGCTGCCCTCCCGGGCGAAAAAAAAAACAAACAAAAAAGCACCCTGCAATGGCCTTTTTATTCGGGACGCGGGGAGTCGAACCCCGGCCTGCTGCATGCACAGTCACCGAGCCATTAAATCATTCAATGCAGCGGTGCTCGATACACCACGTCCCGCTTCCTATTACCAGTTTCGATCCGAATACACGTCCTAGTGGCTAGAGGATCAAGACAACGAACCGGATGTGGCCGTACACCACGTCCCACTTCTCATGCTCAGTTTGAACCTGAACACATGCCTTGAAAGCACCCAAGCCCTCCTTCTGCGCCTGCAAGTTGGTCCTACATACCTTACCTTATAATACTTCCCATGTCGGCCAGCCGCTTCTTCCACCGTCAAAACCCACCCAAAAAACAACAGGAGCCTGGAACAATGTGGGACGCGGGGAGTCGAACCCCGGCCTGCTGCATGCAAACTGACTGCATTACAAAGCTATTTATTCGACGCAGCGGTGCGCCATACACCACGTCCCACTTCACATTTGCAAACTCAACCAGGATAAATGCCCTGGCAAGAAGAGAGATCAACCGCACGAATTCAAATTGTGTTCGGTTGAGGCTCCCTAGCTGCATCTGAAATCCGGATCTGTCTGCCTCGCCCTGTCCATGCGCCACAAAATCCGTTGCCTCTACCCCGCAAAGGTCCCAAAAATGAGATATTTCTCTACGCGTATGTGGGACGCGGGGAGTTGAACCCCGGACTGTTGCGTTTACATTCTGTTTACCACCGTTGATTCAATGCAGCGGTGCACCGTACACCACGTCCCACTTCCCACTTCCAATCTCAACCTGGATACATGCTCTGCTCTCAAGGCTGCGAAAAGAGATCAACCGCACAAATTTAAATTTTGTTCCGTTGAAGCTCTCTAGTTGCATCTGCATATCTACCTAACGCCCTGTTTGTGCGCCATACACGGCCGTTGCATCTCCGCAAAGGTCCCAAAAATGAAACATTTCCGCAATGCAGTGATGTGGGATGCGGGGAGTCGAATCCCGGCCTGCTGTGCTTACACCCTATGAGTCACCTATTCAATGCAGCCATGCACCATACAGTGACACCACGTCCCACTGCCCATTTGCGACCTCAATCTGGATACATTCTCTGCTCTCAACAGCAAGAAAATAGATCAACCGCATGACCTCTTGAATCTCTTCTGTTCGGTTGGAGCTCCCTGGTTGCACCTGAAATCAGGACCGATCTGCCTACCGCCCTGTTTGTGCGCTATACACACCGCGAAGGTCCCAAAAATATTTCTCAACACGCTTCAAGTTATGTGGAACGCGGGGGGTCGAACCTCGGCCTGCTGCATGCACGGGCACCCACCAATTATTCAATGCAGCGGTGCACAGTACACCACGTCCCATTTGCCATCCTCAGCTTGAACCCGAGACCCAATCAATCCCCTCAAGTTTTGTCTGTTGAGTCGTGACTGCCCCTGCGCCTGCAAGTTCGGCCTACTGTATTAAGGCGCAGCTCGCTATTGCGGACGGGTTTGACCGATGTAAGGATCTTTTCTTGCACACAGAGACTTATAAGTTCGTCTTCATTGCGTTGCCCATTGAGCCGGTGTCGATTTTGCGTGCGTAGTTGGTGAACACTGCCGCCAGAAGTATATGTATAGTTGCCTGGTGAATTATGATTTATAAACCGTCGTACATGGAGAAGTTTTGAATGAAATCCGTGAACGACCATGGGCGCGAACGTCGGGATCGCCGGCGACGGCCCCCGTACAAATTGACTTGCAGATGGCATTAATCCGTTTGGACTCTGGATATTTTTAACTCAGTGCGGGCCCACTCCTGCGAAATGAAACATCGCCGATGTATGGTGCGTCATAGTCGAAGTGATGTGCATTGGCTGATGCTGTGATGTGGCACGGACCCCTGCTGTTTCTCGCCGAAACCACGCCCTACGGCCCCTACCTACCTCCCATTCCGGCCCTTCAGTCATCTCCTATGCATCAAATTATTCGCGGGCAGTGCGCGCTCTGCATACATACACTGCGAATCCTTCTTGCTATGCCAGCGGGCACGGTGAATATCGGACAGTTCGGAATTTGGACTCTGTCGGGGGGGGGTATATTATACTTGCATGGTCCAAATGCCTGAAAAACGAGTTTACTGAAGACAAATATACAGTACTGTAGGGGTGGTTATCCTTACAGGTAGCTGCATAAAGTCAACAGAGCACATATCCGTTTCAGGGGTTAGATCATGCACGACGCTGGCATTATGTGGACTGGCCGGCCCCTTTAATAGCAGGACACTCAGTTAAAACCCTGTGGAACCTGGGTGAAGTCCTCTTCTCTCAGGTATAAATCCCCGTTGTCCACCAGTACACACAAGCTGTCGCATGTCGTCCCTTTGCAGGATGCATGTAAAGGAGCCCCCAGAACTCAAAAATGAGGATGAATGAATCATGGAACTGGCCCCGGAGGTCTGTTCACAAGGTGTAGAACATTTCCCTCTGATTGCAGGAAGGTCCTTGTATAGTTTAGCCAGTAATATTTCCCGAGGTTGCATCAGGTTTGGGTGGTCACAGACGAACGTAGCGGGTCTGGAGTCGGCAATCATCGATTTCCTTCAACTGTATTGCTTCCTGACTGTTTCGCCCACCCGTGCTGTCTCCGCCCCGCACTGTGGACTTACCCGAGGCCAGTACGACTAGAATTGTATCATGAGCAGCTGGCAATTCACAAGGAATGGCGGGCATAGAAGACCGTATGCGTAATTTACCTTGCGCCGCCGAGGAGCGCATAAAAGCCCCTCTTGCCTCACCATTGCTCATCGAGTAACACTTCCACCCACCCCACAGCCTAATGGTCTCTCTCACTTCCCTCACTGTTGCTTACATCCTCGGTGTCGCCTCTGCGTCGCCTTTCGCCCGTCAATCGGCGACTTGCAACCCCAACTTCGAGGGCGCTGGTGTGTCCATCGTAGCGGGCGACAGCGAATGGGATGTGTCGCCAATCGTCGTCAGGACGGCCTTCAAAAAGGACGGGGGCGTATTCCCGCCAAATTCCACGGCCGAATGGTATGTAGAGCAGACAGGCTCGGCTGACCCCGCCAACCTACATTGTCAAATAGGTTAAATCTCTCACCTAGTTCAAATTTGAATGGCACTAATTGTTTTCGGGATTGTAGGGAAATTAACCAAAGCGACCTAGTTGTGGACGTGGTTAATGGGAAATTAACATTGGAAGTAGTCTCTCAGAGCCAGACACTTCAATCAAATGAACCTCGTACCTCGGTTGATTGAAGTCTGTGATTGAGCGCGGGGGTGGGCCGATCAGGGTTCGCCCTTATTACATAATCTTCGCTTAGCTGCGTTTTGGTCGTTTTCGCTCTGCGGCACCCTTTTCTCTGTTCTCTTGGTGTGGAAATCGACATTAGAGCCTTTTGGAGATGATCTGCTGCTTTGAACTTTTTTGAATGGTGCTTGAATCCACGCAACAGCTCATACTTCAATGCGATGGGACATCAACGTGCCAAAAACCCATAAACTTCACTCATCAATAGCTTCGGCCCACGGTGCTCAAAAAATCTGAGAAAATTTGGGTGCACAGAAAACACCTCTACTATTCTGCCAGGGATATATTTGAGGTTCAAGGACTGGGGCAAGGGCCTCAAAACGTGATTATGTAATAAGGGCGAACCCTGATCGGACCCCCGCGCTTAAAACTGGACTAACTTGGAAGAGACCGATTCTTCGAAGCAGTAAGTGTATATGGCTGACTAGCTCTTCGTTAAATTAATCATGAATTTCCAGAACAACTCTGGGAGATCGACTGCCAACAGTGCCTCTCTGGTGCATCGACTACCCCCGGCGGCAGCGAATTCGCCGTCGGCTGCCTCATCAAGTCCGTCCTCACTGGCCTCTGCGCAACACTTGAGATGGGCGTAGAGTTCCTTAGACCTGCAGAATGCGACGACGCTCACCCTGTGGCTGCGGAGACATTCGCCTTCTGGACCGCGACCAATGCGTGAGGTCGGAGTGGTACAAAAGTCATAAAATCATTTTTGAGCACAGCTCGAAGTACATGGACAGTATCTGGCGTTTGATGAATGTGATGAATGCTGAATTGGACCTCAAGTTCCCCGAGACTGTCAAAATGAAAGATAATAAAGCAGAAGGTTGCATGTATTAGCCTGGACATAGATGTACACCCAACTCTTGAGGAACGCGAAAAAGAAGCTGAAGTGGATGGAAATGCGGGACACAGGGAGTCGAACACGGCCTGCTGCGTGGAAATTAATTTGAACATTCGACAGAGACTGGAGCGGTGCACCGTATTACACATCCTACTTCTTATCCTTGCTTTCAACCTTAAGAAATCGGTATGTTGTCTTCTGCTCCATTCACGCCCACAAGACCACTGTGAAGTGCAACGACAGCAAAGGTGAGACGACCACCATCCGGCTCGCAGACATCGAAGCAGCCGTGCGGCTCGTGCGCAGGCGGGCCCCTTGATTGGGTCTAGACTAGACATGTTTGCACATACGTTCAATAACGGCGGCGGCACGCCCGAGGTGACCGTAGACGCGGCGTGCGCGGGATCGCTCGAGGAGTATGCCGTTGGGGTGGGTATGTCGACGTTCGGCAACGACCTTACCGGAATAAAAAGCAAAAACTTCGACACGTTCCGCGTATTGATGACGCCGCCGGACGCCGCCGGAAACACCGTTTTCTGCGGTGTGGCATGTTTCTTCGGTTTGTGCGTGAATGAGAAACTGATGAACTGGTGCCAGGTGGTGGATGACGCACGGAACGTTGAAAGCGAGGAGATTCGAAAGCGCTAGAGATCCCGTAGATGGCGAGCGCGCCGTGTGTCGGCGTTGTAATGTATGATAGCGAGATTAAACGATGCTCAGCGATTCAATTCTTTCCTATGTGCTAGAGTCTGGCTTATAGCGTGTCTTGAGGTCAATTGAAAGCCTCCGGAGAGAGTAGGAAACAATCAGAGCCCCTTCAGTCTGTGTCGAACATCAGCCACGAGCGGCAACCGTGAATGGATGTTGAACGGCAGGTACTTGAGATTCGGGAGCCTAGAAAATGAATGAGGGGGGGGGGGGGGAGTATAACGAGGGATAGAGCCTGTTTCGCTTATGGAGTCGCGGGTTGCTGAAGGTCGTGTCTGCCATCATCAACTTGAGCGCCTGTAAGTGTCACGATTTGACCCCAATCTAATCGCTCCAACACCGATCGATGAGCACGTGACCCCAGCGCTTGTTGCACGAGCGCTTCACGCCGATGGCATAACGTGGGAGGACTTTGCTGGCTAAAGATCACACGGCAACGGAACACAATAGTCGGAACACAATAGTCGTTTCCATGAACTATATTTAGTATTGACACTTGACACTTGACGTCTCCGATCACGATTTGCCTGGTAACCTCATTGTATTATATACTTAGCTACTTAAGTTCACACGGTTCGACAAACAGTATAAGTAGAGTAGCTATTCACTTGTAGTTCTTTAGTCTTTTATTCGATCATCTTTTCGAGATCACTTGCACCTCCCAATCCACTCTCTTGTAGAGTTGGACGCAAGCCTTGACTGTGACATAATAAAAGACTCACCTTCTTACCCTCGTACCGCCCCACCCCGACCTCCTTTCCTCACCATCCCCGTGCACTCCTTGCGCAAAAACCTCTACCCACTCGACACTGCACTTCGCAGTCGTCATTTCTTACCTCTACTTGGTTCTCTCTTATCTGAAGTTCCACACTCCCCTCCCCACCATTCACGTCGTCCACACCGACGTA